GAATCTAGCCATTTCAATTGTACATTGATGAGACCTAATTGCCAATCTATCACTAAATTCATAAAGACTAGGTACCATAGTGAAGAGTTCATGCGAACAGTTACCAGTAAAGTATTTATAGAAAAGACACAGGGAAGCTACGTTTCGGCTATGGGAAAGTAACTGAAGCCGAAATGCCAGGTCAGAACCAATAACATTGCGGATTCTTCTTTTGGATTTTATCAAGAATATCTATATAGCAGGAGTACCAGACCATATGTGACAGAAACATCAAAAACCAAGGACAAATGGCAGACTTATACATATGGAAGAATTGCCAAGAACGATACAATGAACCAAGTTTTCGAGTAGCAGACATAGCAATTGATTCCACTTCATTTCAGCAGAGAATATAGGCCCGAAGTAAAAGGTTCAGTTCGACATTCTAACCCACTGAAGAAGACCGAAACGTTGTGATAAATATGGCAACAAAGATGAGAACAATAGTCCGAATAATGTAAATAATATACGTAATACCTCTTCTCAGATATATATATATATATATATATATATATATATATATATATATATATGTGTGTGTGTGTGTGTGTGTGTGTATGTGTGTGTGTGAGATTAAAAACGAAATAAACAAAAACAAATCACACCAAAAATATGGCAAATAAGGAAAAGAATATCAGCCTACAACAATCAACATAAAACTGTAAACTCTGCCGAGAGGAAAATAGCTGTAATTACCATTCTAGATCAGAACAAACTATTAAATAAACGACCAGAACTCATCTCAAAATGAAGACACAAAAACATATTTTTAGTAGATTACTGAAAAATCCAAAATTCACCTCCTGTTATTTCACCTCTGCAAGTTGTCTACTGCCTTAAATATGCCATGTGTCCTGAAGATAACTGATAAGTCACATCCATTAGACATGGCACGTGGAACTTGGAACAGTCTACCCCAACTAGCGAAATAAAGGCCCCAGTTCGACATTCCAACCTCCTGAAGAAGGCCGGAGCGTATAACAGCCGAAACGTTGTGATAAATATGGCAACAAAGATGAGGACAATAGTCCGAATAATGTAAATAGTGTAATATATATATATATATATATATATATATATATATATATATATATATATATATAGGAATTGATGGATTTATTTCTAATCTCTCATTTTTATTATTTCACTTGTAATTTTTAATAGATAGCCTTGTATGACATAGACGCCCCGTTTTTTATTTTATTTTCAGCAGTGTGTATTACATGTATTGACGTTGAGAAAAGAAAAAGAAAATGTGCTTTCCGGCAGGGTTCAAACCTACGTAGGAGAAACCTTTGTAGGAGAAACCATCACTTGAACCGACGTGTTTTAGACGGCTCGGCTACAAAAAGCCTCTTCCCTCTTCTCATTGTTCATACAAGAACTTCACCTACCTTGACTGTCTCTTCGGTTTTGCATTGATTGAACATTAGTAAAATAAAATTTAAAAAAAAGAAAAGAAAAAGCAATCTAAGTTCGGGTTCGAAATCGGTTCACCGTTTCCGTTTTAGACATTGTTAAACTGTCGCACCTCCTATATATATATATATATATATATATATATATATATATATATATATATATATATAGTTTATGCAAATTTAGGTAATCCTATGGGTAGATCTGAGAGGATGATATCCAGAGAGCTCAATGTAAAATTTAGAGCAGATATATTTGAATAAAAGATAGACCACGTTAAGATTCCATGTAAGCTTTTGGAAGTAAAGTCTGATGATCAGAACCCTGTTAAAGGGGTTATGGTGAAATAACATTACATGGAATCTTAACGTGAAATCTATCTTTATTCAAAATATATATATATATATATATATATATATATATATATATATATATCAGGATATAAAATAGTAATTCATATAATGCATTTATCGTATAAATATAAGTATAAGCTGGCCTGAATTTTTTTTACCATTTTTTAAAACCTTTCCTTTGTTCCACTAGTTCAGACATTTACGTCTAAGAATCACCATGCCGTATATACAGGTTCGAATCATCCCCATTCCTTTTGTATTTCATTGGTAAGAAGTCAAATTCACATCGGACAACTTCTTCCCAGGATCTGCTACTTTGTAGAACAAACTCTAGAGTGGATGTTTCCTCCAACACTACAATCTTAACCTCTTCAAGTCGAGGGTCAATGATCTTCTACTTTCAACGACTTCATTCAACAACTCTCTGCATTGAGTGGCTAGTGAAGCTTGTATTGGGTGGAAAACAGTTAACAGAAAGGCAGCATCAACACCTAGATAGTGTCCAGCAAGATGGGCGCATTGTTTGGAGTCCTCTACACGACGGAAATAACTGTCAGTCACGTCAGGCCAGCTCTGTATAGCCCCAGGGTCTTAGACTCAACTCTACGGGATGTAAAACGAAAAGCGGGAAGAGAATAAAAATATATATATATAATAATAATATATAATAATATATAATAAAAATATAAAATATATAGATAAATAAAAATATATTAAAAATATTATTTAATAATATATAATAAAAATAATATAATATATAAATATAAAATAAATATAAAATAAATATAAAAATAAATTAAAACTATATATAGTAATATATAATAAAAATATAATAAAATATATAAATAATATAAAATAAATATTAAAAAATATGTATAATAATATATAATAAAAAAATATAATAAAATATAAAATACAAAATATAAATATAATATAAAAATAAATATAAAAGATAAAAATATATTAATAATATATTTAATGATATATAATAATGTATAATAAAAAATATAATAAAATATATAAATATAAAACAAATATAAAATAAAAAAAAAATTATATATATATATATATATATATATATATATATATATATATATATATTTTAATAATGATGTGACATCTAACAGAAAAAAAAATTATTGCAAATGACCAAGACGTCACTGGGAAATTGTGAAAGCACAAATATCATTGAAAAGGTATGAATCCATCTTTTCTTGCTAAAATAGACGTAAATTGCAGGTCAAGCATAGTTGTCTAGCCTTGGTTTGCAACCCGACTAGAAGAAAGGACGACTAAAATTTAAATCCGATTGGGCGTGAGATTAACAATTTCACCGTGTAAATACCTACTTGTCACATAAAGCCAGCAGCAACAATAACTATTGTAAAAGCTGATGACCTATATTATATTGGGGATAATACAGGGTTAATATATATATATATATATATATATATATATATATAGGTATTAATCTGTTGGTATAATCCAGGTGAGTCCTATTAACAAAACAGAATTTGAAGGATGTTAAAACTTTCAGTTTATTTCATTAAACAGAGAAAAATCTTCTTTACAATTGGAATAAAGATGCCTTTAGTTAATGACCATTTTCACCTACGAATTTTAATTTTAAAATTAAAATTCGTAGGTGAAAATGGTCATTAACTAATTCCAATTGTAAAGTATATATACATATGTAGAAATAATTAGGAGGATTTGAAATAATCATAAGTAATTCATCGAGTCTAGAAGAAACCCTCCACAGAATGCAGAAAGCATTGGACGGCTGTTTCGTCCTATATTTGGGACTCATCAGCAGTGCGCATTAACTACCGAGAAATGAAACCCGAAAAGTTACGATAGGAGGCAAACGCCATACCAGCTGTACCAACGGGCCTCGGTGACGAAAAGGTAACGAATTAGACTCAATACAGCGCCGCTCGACTACATATTCTGTGGTGGAACTCATTCGTCTTTCTCTTTTACCCATAGGACTGTGCCTACACGAGCTATAGCGACGCTATATCGTCTAATTCGTTTTATATATATATATATATATATATATATATATATATATATATATACAAAAGAAATGCAATGAGAACGAAATATAAATTCAAACGCTCATAATTAATTTAAAATAGAACTCAATACAAAAGTAGAACGATAAATCTTTATTATAGGTTATTACATTTGAATATAAATTATTCCGCTACAAAAATGCATTAATGTTTCGATGCACATCATAGCATTTCATCAGGCGGTGATAATTATAACAATTTTTACTATTACTCATGAAACATCTCTTCTCCCCGAAAAAAAAAAAAAAATAAATATATATATATATATATATATATATATACTCGACTCTCCAGTCGAATTCCCAGGAAACCAACAACAGCACATGAGTTTTGATTATAGTGGTGAAGGTTTCGTGCAGAGCCATCCACACTTTTTGAAGGGCGGAATACAGAGACCTGGTGCACAACGTGCCACAGGGTCCCCAAACGACCCTTCACAGTTTCGTTGTCCTAGACCAGTTGCCATCCAAGGCTATAGAACCCAGTCTGTCCTGCTATTTACCCATAGCTGGAGGGATCAGAAGAGGACTCACGTTTCCTAAGGGTATTAGCACGTAAGTGAATGTAATTAATTCGAACTCGGCTCTCCGATTCCTCAACCCAAGCCGCTATTCATTACTCCACCGTGCCTCATATATATATATATATATATATATATATATATATATATATATATATATATATTATAAAAGATTATAAAAAGACATGTTGAAATCACTACCCAAAAGCTTTCGTGTTTCACCACTATGATAGTACTTCTTCAGGTGATGGTAAGTAACTGGTAATTAAATGATAAGCAACACTTTGTTTTTGAATTTCGTTAAAATTCATCCTTGTAATAAAGATAATAATAATATATAGCTGTACTTTGTATTGAGCACTTTTTAAAAGTAAATGCTACGAACTGTGGATTTTTACTTCTCTTCCTCTCATTTTTATATATATATATATATATATATGTGTGTGTGTGTGTGCGTGCGTGTGTGTCTATCTAATATGCAGGAAAGAAAGAAAGACTGGCAGACAGGAAGAAAGCGTGACAGACAGGCACAAAGAAAAGTAAAAATAGTATGAGATGTTAAAAAAAAAATAGAAAGACAAATGTGGAATATTAAAAAAGAAAGAAAGAATGAAGGAAGGAAAGACAGAAAGAAAGAATGAAAGAAAGAAAGGATAAAAAATAGAAAGAATGAAATAAAGGAGGAATGACAGAAAGAATGAAAAACAGAAAAAAATGAAAGAAGGAAAGAATAAAAAACAGAAAGAAAGGAAGAAAGAATGAAAGAAAGAATGAAAGAAAGGAAGAAAGAAAGAATGAAAGAAAGAATGAAAGAAAGAAAGAAAGAAAGAAAGAATGAAAGAAAGAATGAAAGAAAGGAAGAAAGAATGAAAGAAAGGAAGAAAGAATGAAAGAACGAATGAAAGAAAGAATGAAAGAACGAATGAAAGAAAGAAAGAAAGGAAGAAAGAAAGAAAGGAAGAAAGAAAGAAAGGAAGAAAGGAAGAAAGAAAGAAAAGAAGAAAGAAAAGAAGAAAGAAAGAAAAACAGAAAGAAATAAAGAAAGAAAGAATGAAATAAAAGAAGAAAGAAAGAATGGAAAACGGAAAGAATGAAACAAAGAAAGAATGAAAGAAAGGAAGAAAGAAAGAAAGGAAGAAAGAAAGTATGAAAGAAAAGAAGGAAAGAATGGAAAACGGAAAGAATGAAACAAAGAAAGAAAAGAAGAAAGAAAGAAAGAAAGAAAGAAAGTATGAAAGAAAAGAAGAAGGAAAGAATGGAAAACGGAAAGAATGAAAGAAAGAAAGAATGAAGAAAAGAAGAAAGAGAATGAAAAACAGAAAGCATGAAAGAAAGAATGAAAGAAAGAAAGTATGAAAGAAAAGAAGAAAGAAAGAATGAAAAACAGAAAGAATGAAAGAAAGAATGAAAGAATGAAAGAAAGAAAGAATGGAAAAAGAAGGAATAAAAGGAAATAAAGAAATGAGTGCGAAATGTTAAAAAGTAAAAAATAAATAAAGCATATGTAATATTAGGAAAGACAAACATCTGAAGATTGGACGAACGTCAGGAGATGATGGCATTGAGATAATGACGAAAGACAACTCTGGGATATTGACTGAGAAATTATTCTGGTGTCCTGCCGTATTTGCAAAAGAGAATATTAATAATAATTCTAATCAATAAAGAGATAAAAAAATAGAGAATTTCAAGAGACGATGCTGAAATCGGTATAGGTCCAAATAGCAAGATATATACAAAATAAAATCAAAAATGAAATGTTGGAAAGATATCTAGACTTTGCCTACAACACTGAGAACAATATTGTGGAATAAAAGTGACGTTTGCGCCCATCATTACTGGAAGACTGGGAACAAACTTGAAGAGCTTTGCAAGAATTTGAAAAACTGAAATCAAAACACCATGGAAGTATAAAAATACATTTTTATAGTAAAAATACCAACAATTCATTTTATTATAAAAGTAACAACAATACATTTTTATACTGAAATTACTAGTAATATATTTTTATTCAAAAATATTATCAACGGTACATTTTTATAGTAAAATGAGCAACAATAAATTTTATAGTGAAATGTAGAATGGCCAGCATTACATTTTATAATAAGATGACCAACAATATATTTTATAATAAAAAGGCCAATAATACACTTCTATAGTAAAATTGAAGACATGAACAAAAAAAACAAAAAAACAATTTGAAACGATTAATCTGATTTCTTATAAGGAGAAACAACTTTTCATTCCACATTTGATTTTGCAAGAATATTTGGTCAAAAATTCAATTAAGAATTTATAATTTAATCATGAAATAATGTCATTCTCTTGAATTAATTATAAAGCATGAATTACATATTTTTAGATTTCGACATTAAATAACCCAAAGGTGTTGATATGTTGCCAAAAAGACAACCAAACTTGAAAAAATAAAGTGTGAAATTTTAAAAATTTGAGCAATAATTAGAGCTCTTCGGACAATAGCAGTATTGGAATGGGTAAAAGTACTGAAAAGGCTCCTGTAGGGTGCAGAATGGGGTGCAAAATGGGATGACGTCCCCGTGCATTTATATCGATAATGTACCCCTGCTATCAAAGAGATTTAAAAAATTAGTTTCCGGAATTTGAAATTTAGTTGAACAAGCGTTGAAAAACACTTCTCATAGAGCTTACATATGGCAATATTGTCCGAACTCTTTAATCCGGCACATTTGGAAACAGGTCACTGTCAGAGCACAGAAAATGCCGGATTATTGAAATCACACCTAAAATGCTTATGTAAACATAGTCTTGACAGCTCATTTCACACATTGCTGTGTTAACTAAGGTAGAAGAAAGCTTCGAAACATTAATGCTTCCAAACAAGATTTTTATTGTTTCATGCAATACAAAGGCTTAAGAAATCCTAAAACCATAGGCTAAAAAAAAAGCGTAAAACCACGCAATAAAAAGGCTAAAAAAAGCCTAACACAATGCAATACAAAGGCTAAAAAAGCCTAACACCATGCAATACAAAGGATAAAAAAAGCCTAACACAATGCAATATAGAGGCTAAAACAGCCTAACAGCATGCAATACAAAGTATAAAAAAGCCTAAAACCACGCAATACAAAGGCTGAAAAAGCCTAATACCATGCAATACAAAGGCTAAAAAAATCCTAACACCAAGCAATACAAAGGCTAAAAAAGCCTAAAACTACGCAATAAAAAGGCTAAAAAATAGCGTATAAAACCGTGCAATACAAAAGCTAATAAAACGTAAAACTACGCAATACAAAGGCTAAGAAAAAGCCTAAAATGAAAAAATAATAGAGGGTGCTCCAAACATGTATTTACTCGTTTAATGACCAGAACATCAGTATTTATCAAATTGTAGACAAGATTGTTGGTTAAAATTAAGAAACATTAATATTTATTGAATTACAAAGATTAACGATTTAAATTAAAAATTAAATGAAATTAAATGCATGGCTAACAATCAGGAAAAGAAGAAAATTCAAGAAGTTCTTGGAAGTCAAAAAGTTAGTCAAGCCATCGTACATACACATTCTTCATCATCATCATCATCATCTTCTTCACCTTCTTCTCCTTCAGCTTCTTCTTCACCTTCAACTTTTTCATCTTCTTTTTCTTCTTCACATTTTTCTCCATCATCTTCTTCCTCACCTTCTTCTTCTTAATCTTTTTCACCTTCTTCTTCTTTTTCTTCTTCTTCCCCGTAGCCATCTTCTTTTTTCTTTGTCTTCTTCATTTTTTTCTTCCTATTCTTCTTCTTCACCTTCTTTTGTCATCACCTTCTTCTTCTTCTTCTCTTTCAACTTCTTCATCTCCTTAATCTTCTTCTTCTTCTTCTATGTTCTGTGTCCCTTCCTGTGCCCCCCTTTCCGCAATCCATTCAAACAATCTCATCAGGTTAGTTAACCCCTCCTCGATTTCTATTGCTCTGAATAGACCGTGACCGTCAAGATTTTCAAGACCCTAAACTTATCATGCGTCCAAGAAAATTCCAGCTGTCTCTTTTCGATTCTGCGTATAAGAGTTCTATTTGTTACCATCTTCTTTAAGTCCGCCTCCTTTCTTTCTCGCCCTGTCCTGAAGTAATAGTTCGGAATTGTTAATCGGAGAGCCGAGATCTAGTTCGTATTGGGTTCATTATATTCACATACGCGCGCGCGCAAAAAAAACAAAAAACTTTGAGAACCATATGGATCCACCTCTTCCCACCAGCTATAGGTTAATAAGAAAGACTTGTATTACTAACCTATTATTATCTCAAAAAAATCTTACAATTACCCTACTACTAACCATGGGTATATCATAATACCCGATTTTGAAAAAAAAAAAAAAAAAATTAAATATAAATCTTTATTTGAAATATTTTACATGCAGGCACTTCAAACTTTGTACTTTGAGTTAACATTAATAGAAACTGAAAAAAAAAAACATTTGGCATCTACGCGGACGACAGTACAATTTACACCTGCCTCAAAAACAAATCTAGTGTCGGTGACAAAACTAACCTGGCCGTGCGTCTTGAAATGGACCTCCAATCGGTTGTTAATTGGGGCAAGAATTGGCTGGTCAACTTTAACGCCTCAAAAACTAAACTACTCTCTATTAATCACCATAGAGATCCTTCCCTGCCCCCCATTAGAATGTCTGATAGTCAACTTCTTGAGAGCAACTCCCTGCGTCTGCTCGGTCTCACGTTGACTGCTGACCTGAGATGGAACAAATACATTGAGTCAACTGCTTCGTCCACCGCAAGGAAAGTTGGCTCTGTGCCGCGCCAGGAAATTCTTCTCCCCGGAATCGATACTTCAAATATACAAATCAACCATTCGCCCTTGCATGGAGTATTGCTGACATATATGGTTTGGGGGCACCTTCTGTTTACCTCGGAGTTCTTGGCAAGATCCAAAGGCAGATATGAAATATAATTGGCCCTGATCTGGGATCTCGTCTACAGTCACTCTCTCACAGACGTGCCGTTGCCTCTTTCTGTCTTTTCTACTTTCATGGTAATTGCTCCGATGAGCTGCTTTCACTGGTTCCCAGATTCCATGAATTCAAGCGCCCTACGAGGCTGGCATCACGCTCCCACCCTTACATTGTAGAAACTTTTAAATGTAGCCGTCTCTTCTATTCCAATAGCTTCATACCTCGCACCTCTCGCCTGTGGAACACCCTTCTCTATTACTGTTTCCCTGTAAGCTATAATCTCCAACTATTCAAATGTAATGTCAATCGACACCTCCAGTTACCTTGATCTATCCACTATCCCTCTCCTCATCCTTTCTTCTATCACTTCTATCTGCTCTCGCTCCAAATCTTCTGCAACCCCCTGCATCCTAGTGGCTTCACGCCTTGCTCGGGGCGTAATGCTTAAAAAAAAAAAAAAAAAAAAAAAGGTAAAAAAATCAGGTACTGAAAATTGTAATTAAAAGTAGGAAAATTTACGCTGGGTACTGTATACACATGGTAAGTGATCTAGGGTTAAATAACCTGCAAAAGGTTGGTAAATTGTAGAAAATGAATGAATCGATCAATGTAGTGAGATTGTTCAGTATAACACAATAACTGGTCGTACTGGGTAAGATGATAAACTACGTCCAGCAGCAAGGCCTCTGATCAGGTGGTTTTGAGGAGCGTGAAACCACCTCTTAATTGCTGGTGTTCCCAGGTCCACCCTGACCCGGGGTGGTAGCACCTGTTAGGGTCCCAGCTATGGGCAAATACTTAAATATTACCAGCAATACTTTTTTGAAAAAAAATTATTACCTGCAATACAATTTTGAAGGAAAAATATTACCAGAAAAAGATTTTTGACAAAACAAAATATTACCAGCAATAAAAAATGTCGGCATTAAATAACCGATTGAGGTTGATATGCCGTAAAACAAAATAAACCAAACCAATCTAAACCAAAGAATACATATTCTATTCATACTAACCTATCCTAAAAATGTTGTTTGCATTAAATAACCCATTGAGGTGTTGATATGCCGTAAAACAAAATAAAGCAAACCAAACAATAACTGGTGTCAAAGGTTGACTGGCGATCTACTTTTTATTTTTCAAGAAAGAAAATAGTTTCATGTCAAAACAATGCGATACCATGACTTATCTGGTTTTTGTCACTTATGGAGCATTGCGTGGGAGTTGAACTTGTTAGATTGGGTGGGATCGGTCAGTAAGTACAGTCTTAGGTCTTAAGTCTGTTTAATTTGTGTTAATTTTGATAAAGGAATTGTTCTTTGGAATGAGTGACACAAAGCAATGATAATCAGATCAAATAAGGGTGAGACTCTAGAACATGGAAAATGTTTCCTTGAAGGTGAGCGATACAAGGCCACCATTTATGATTGGCCCGCCAATCAGAGAAGGGCTTCTCATCTCCCTTTCGATACTTACGACACGTTCATTATTTTGATTAGACCATCAATCATATCGGGTTCTTGGGAGCCCCCCCCCCTTGAGGTGTATGGCACAAGACCACGGGTCAAGCGTTATTATTAACTAGTCAAAAC